GCGTTCTTGTCCCTCGGAAAAGGAACTACAGATGTTCTTATTATGTAGTTATGTTGCTAATGTGAAAAACGGCCTCATTATGAGGATCTGTTTGTAGCAAGAAAATTACTGCATTATGACAAATGCATGATTGGGAAGTTACAGGAAGCCGATCATTATTGAAATGAAACTGGAGCTCACTTAATAGCTGCAGCCAGCAGCTGGAATGGAGCAAATGAATGTCTTCCTGTTGTTATTGTTGGAGTCAGGGTTTTTGGGCAGGAGACTCTGCTGCACCAAAACCTGCATGCTGTCTTGGGCTTCTAGGGTGGAAAGGCAGTGTTAAAAGCAGCTGTTTCCTACCTGGGCGTCTCCCCCTCATGTGTTTAATGACACTGTTTTAAAGACACAACTGTGCTGGAGGAGCAATTACTCCAACAGTCCTTAAAGGCAGACCACTGCTTTCTGGATGGCAGCCTGATCCAGGTCTCCCTGGAATGGGGGAAAGTGGTCAGGAGGTTGTTGTCACAATTAAGCTTTGTCACTGTGGACCCTTCTTCATGCAAGGTCTCCCCCAGTTCTACCAGCAAGAAGTCCCCTGAACTGGGGGGGTGTCCATAGCAACAATTTATGCTCTTGACTGCTGCTCCTGAGCAGGGTTTCACGCCACTGGGAAGTAGGCACAACTGAGCCCTGAAAACATAGTAGCTGCTTAGTTATTTTGTGTGAATGAGTTGGGCTTCCAAAAATTCACGGGGCTTAGTTTCATCCCTAGGAATTGTTCTCTGCAGGAAACTATGCTAGCCCTAAACATCAATGTTTTTGATCTGCGAGGTTTCCTGTGTGTCATCCGTGGGTCAGGAATATATCCCCTTACTCACATAAGGGAATGAGGTTTACACACCAATGGATTAGCCTTCGAAGTCTGACGAAAGTCATTTACATTTTGGGATGTTGGAGAAGAGCACAGAACCCTGAGTGGTGATGGCTGACAAAGACAGTTCAGCCATCAAAATGTAAACTCCAATGACTGATGTCACAAGAAAGAAAAACCCAGCACTGCTGCCCATTGGTACGTTTCTAATTGCAGCAGGCCAGTTGGAGCTACTCTGGCCCCAGCTGCAGCTCAGAGCCTGATGCCATTTTCGGCTGCCACATTAGCTCTGGCAATCCCAACTTGAACCGACATCACAGACCGTTAAAATTTTATCAATTGCGCTATGATTAATCCCCCAGTACACGGGCATGACTTAAATATTTAGAACGCTTCTTCTGTTATGACTTCAATGCATGTAAAGTAACGAGATTAACTCCAGTACACTCAAATGTATTTAAATATGCGTCCTTCCCGAGCTGCAGGCTATCCGGCGTGCGGAATCGAGTCTATGTGACCATGTCAGGCTCTATTTGTAGGACCCACGCTGGAGACTGGCCTGCATATGATAGCCGGATATCTGGCCTTTCACAGGCTGCCTGATTGCTTGCCTCATTTGGCATGGAATGTGATTCCCGGCCATTCTAGCTTCTGATTCATTCAGGTTTTATTGCTGTGTAATTTTCTTATTCTAAAATAAAAGCTCTCCAACAAAAATTACTATGCATTAGGCCACAGTAGCCTACTCAAATGGATATTAATACAGTTTATCTCCAAAAGGACGAATAATGTATTTGAAACAGATAAAAGGCCCTCCACTAAATGAGGAATGTTAATATCTTATGGCACAGTTAATAAAGAGATATTTCACAGGGGAGATTTGTTTTATGACTTTTGATACAACAGCCTTGTAATCTGACATATCTTAACGATATAATTTCACACATACATTCATCTCCTACATGCAGCAGCCCATCTTAGCTAAATTTGAATTCAGGACAAATAATGGGTGCTAATTACTTCCGGAGGGGGGATTTATTAGAAAACCCATCCTCTCTTTTACAGGTTGACAGAAATCCATGCAGAAAGGTGCTAGCTTACAGATACATTTTTGATAAACGTTATTGTTTTTTCCCCTTCAGCAGAAAATAACATTTGTTTTTGTTGTGTTTAAGGCAGAGTTTAAATTAATTTAACCCACTGACACATGTTCAGAGACTAAGCATGCTGCTAAATAATTCCTTGGAATAAATTGCTTGGGAACCAAATGCATTAATTTATGGCTTTGCTGATGCTGACAGATGGGAGGGGTGGGCCGACAAATATTAACATAAAACAAATTTGCTTTATTCTTCTTCATATTTCTTCTTCATCCCCGACTTGAGCTCACCCAGGGCTCCTTCTCTAATTATCCACGAGGTCAGTAAGCAAAATTGGGAAGAAGCTGAGAGATCAATACAAATTATCCCTGAGCAAACCAGTGCTGACAGTTTGAATTGCAGCATATGTTTACCCAAAATCAGGCAATTTATCTTAATATCAGCAAAGTAATGCAGTGCAGGTGAAAGGTCAGGCAATCTCTCCCCCTCATAATTACCCAGTTCTAAAACAGGAAAGTGGTATTGATTGGCCTGGCTCGGGGCTCTGTGACTGGACGTGCCAGTGCCTTGCCCTGGCTCGGCTGGGCTCTAGGCTGTAAACTCGACACGCTGAGGGTTTATTAGATGTGTGGGGAGGTCTCGCGCTTTCTCCTCCAGTTGCAGAATTGGCTGGTGAGGATTGAACTAGCCTTCGCCATCCATGGGTAGTGAGGATGGGCTCTTTGAGGATCTGAGGGCTGCCTGCCAGGGCAGGTCTTCAATGAGTGCAGGCAATGCTGCAGGGGACCGAGAGGTGCACGGGGGTCCCCATCACCAGAGCAGAAACTCCTGGGACTATGAAGGCCCACTGATGCCCCTGTCACCAAAGAGGAGGCAGGTTCCAACAATTCTGCTACCTAAACACATTTGAGGTTCTAGAGCCAGACCCCTGTGGGAGGGACGTCTTTTGGTTGGAAGACCAGTACTAGACCTCTTGTTGTGTACTCATTAAGTCTGGTTCTGGCACACTTTTGCACCCTGCCTGTACTTTCCTGATGTGCTGTGCCTGCCTACTTTGGTGGTGTATGCACACTGCTAATGCCTGTTGGTTTGAATCGAGAGATGCAAGAGGCCCTCCTAGTTCTCCAGCTTTATGTGACACATTGGTTCATAGAAGAAGAATATCAGTTCACCTGAAACACTGGAGAATGTCTCTCCCAGAGTGAGTGTGTGCTTATCACAAGTCATAAAGCTTCTGAAAGCTTGCATTAAAGCGCCTATCACCTGTCAGGGGCATTTGCATGAAATCAATAATGGCTGCCCATCTATCTTTTCTGATCACCTTTCATCAGGCCGATTCATTAAGTCAAACAGTCATGGTGATTAGCTGGCAGAGAGGAGAAACCTGACATGTTAGGAATGCACACTGGACCAACCCCCCCCCCCCCCAACATCCCAATCAAGAAACAGAATACTTCATCTTACCCTTTTTGGACCGAGTCGTTTGCTGGGCCTGGAGCCCATCCTCCCTGATGCCCGAACCACATTTTTGCCTGACACCCTTACCCGTGCCGAGGCAGAGACATGACAAATTGTCCCCCCCAGTCAATGCTGACAGCTTCTGATGATTAATGGTCTGATTATGAAGTGGTTTTACACATATAGAATTTACATCACAGAGAGTTAGAAATTTTGCCATGTCACATACACCAAGGCATTTTGAAGGGTTTTACTATTTGCAAAGAAAAAAGAGGGCAAAATCCCAGCAAAAGCCATGTCATGTAAAATCAATACATCGGATCAATGCTTTATTAACAAGAAAATGTCTTACTTCACATTCCTGTGCGGACCTTTGTCTCCGGGATGTATGATGGAATGTCAAATCATATTGTGGTCCTCAACTTTCGGGCGTATTATTGAGTGTACGTGCAAGGCGTCCTGGGTTGCTTACAAGACACACCGACAGCTTAGCACTCAAGGATAATGGTGACCAATTATTGTGGAGAGCACTTTCCAAGGCAGCCCCAAGCTTCCTCTTAGGAAGCTATGGCCTTTTGTGTTCTCCCGCACTCCGCAGACCTGGGTGGCGTTAATCATCAAATTACTAATGAGTGATGGCCCAAATTGCGGGCGGAGTAATGAATAGATGGCGGCAGGTCTTATTAGTCTCCGAAAACCTCCTGATTTATGTTGCGCCATGCACCGCGGAGTTACTCCACAGAAAACGATATCTACATCAAGAAATAATGTACTCTAATAAGTATTTTCATCTTAACTCGTGTCCCCGGGCCTCCGGGCTCAGTTTTTGTTGGAGTCAGGCAGAGCCGTAATAAAGCCCGATGGCTCCTTATAAAGCTTGTTAAACACAGTGTGTGCAGTCGAATGGAGTCCCGGCTGTGATTCATGCACTGTACAGGGTGCATGTGCCTCTGATTTATGACCACGCACAGTTCATAGTCAAAATTACAATTTGAGGGATAAAAAGATTAATTACTATTTGTGGCCGGCAATTTCGTGGGGCTGGTGGATTGCAGCTGTGGAATGATAGCGCTCTATATCAGTTTGTAGTCAGCCATTCACAGATTATTAAAGCTTTGCAAGAGTAAGTGTTCCTCCTGCCTGGTCTGTGCTCAGGCAATATGCTAGACAAAAAAGGACCACAGGGATAAATCTGAGGCTAGCAATAGCCGGACATATGTCATAATTGCCAGTTTCCCATAAATCCCCGGCTGGTGAGGAACGCACCGTGTGATGCAGACGCCGCATCATGGCTCTGGTGATGGCTATATATGGCCCCAAGACCTGTCACTTCGGGACCGCACTGCCATTTTTACAATATACTGAGGCACCCTTTGACTTTCTTCCAGTCTAATTATAGATTAGAAATAATCGTTGCTTTTATGTGCAAAAGAAAAGGTGTGTGTGGAGGGGAATCTATTCCTTAAGGCAGAGCTAACAGCAGGGGTGTATGCCCGGGGGAGGCACACCTATGTGTGACCATTCAGTGAATGCACAATGGATGATGTAACAGTGACTGACTTGCTCTGTGTTTGTGTGTCCTGTTGCAG